GAGAGAGAGAGAGAGAGAGAGAGAGAGAGAGAGAGAGAGAGAGAGAGAGAGAGAGAGAGAGAGAGAGAGCGGAGGAGGAAGAGGAGGAGGACGACTATAACGGACATGACGACGACAACGACGTGCGAGCGCGCGCGCGCGCGCGCGAGAGAGAGAGAGAGAGAGACGCACCTGCTTCACCCTGCTGCACGCGCTGGTAGCCCGTCGCCGCGCAACTTTTCTCTGCTCCACGCGCTGGTTGCCAGGCAGCTGATCGCTGCTCCACGCGTGCACGTCGAGGGATGAGTTCAAAAAATGGCGCGGGGGAAGAACGCTGCCTTCGAAAAGTGGCRGCCGTGAACTGCCCCCCCGGCGAGTCAGAAAAAAAAAAAAAAAAGTAACCAAGTTCACCAAGAAATTCTCCGCCCCTTCCGGACGGTGGCAAAAGGGACGAAAAAATAAGGGCCATTTTTTTTGGGGCGGCCCAAGGCGTGAAAAAATGCCCTGGGCCGCCCAAAAAACATTTGGCCGTTGGCCTGGAGGGCCTCCATCCGGACCGATTACCGGAAAGCGGTACCGGATCCCGGATCCCGGAGGGTCCGGATCCCTTTTCGGGGGTCCGGATCGTAGCCATGCTTTAAACCCCAAGGCAAAAGTGTCTTTTCATGCAAAATTCACTCTTTTCAGTTTTCAAGATTTTCAGGATTTTTCAGGGCTGGCCAAAACAGTGAACTCCAAGACCCCAACAAACACCAAACTTGGCGCACACAGACCTTGACCAAAAATAAAACAGGGCAACAAACGAAGAAAAAAAAAAATTGGAAAAAATTATCTCCAATGCACTTTTCAGGGTTGGGGTTGTTACCTTGGGGTAGTGGGGTCCCTGTTAACCTTTGGTGCCCAGACTGATGGTTAGACCGAGGTCACGAACAGGACTCTCGGAGATATTCTCCGAAAGATTGTTCGTGACGACCAGCAGTGGGATCTCCATCTTGCCCACGCGGAGATAGCCTACAACCACGCCGTCTCGCCAACCACGGGGATGTCGCCTTACTATTGCGACCTCGACTATCACCCCCGTGTTCCCGTGAACTTCCTTCGACCGTCACAGATGCACCCCGAAACGAATTGTCCCGCGCTGGATGATTGGGTTGCACACATGACGTCGATTATGAAAACCGCACATGAGCACATAGCCGCTTCCCAGACTCGCATGGCAGCACGTGCGAACCGATCGAGGATGGATCATTCATTCAAAGTCGGTGATGATCTTCTTATCGACGCTCGCCACTTACAGCTCAAAGCGGACACGCTTCGCAAGTTTCAACATCGCTTCTTTGGCCCATGCCGCATCCTCCAGGTTGTCGGTTTTGATACGGCATATAGCCCGTTCAGCTTCCGTGTGAAGCTGCCCGACTACCTACGCCAGACTCGTGTGCACGATGTCTACCACGTCTCGTTACTGCGTCCCTACCGCAGACCGTCCAGGCGTTTCGCTGGACGACCATACGAGCGCCCTCCACCCATCATGGTGGACGGCCACGAGGAGTTTCTCGTTTCAGACATCGTTGGTTACCGAGTCACCGACGACAACCCTCCTCACGTTGAGTATCTCGTACGTTGGAAGGGTTACGCTGATGAGGAGGCTACTTGGGAGCCCCTCGAACACTTGCAGCACGCTCGCATGTTGGTGCGTGCTTATGATCGTGCTCGTCGTGTTGGGTTGACTGCTCCTCCTCAGCCCACTGACCCTCCTCTTTCTCCCTCGGCTGAGGAGACCGCTGAAGTCGAGCTTGCTCCATCTGAGGCAGACCTTCAGCAGCAGTCGGATGCTTCTGAGCGTCCACAGCGCACTCGTCGTCGTCCTGCTCGATACGACGATTGACTCTGACTTACCTTCCCACGTCTTTGACTTCTCAGTACTCAATCCACTCCAGTTTTGCTACTTCAGCTCGTCGACGTTGCAACTCTTCCTCAACGATATTCTGGACTTCTCATCGTGGACGTCATCGGCAGCTTCATGGACTTCGCCACGATCAGCTCTGCCTACTTCAGACGTCATCACTCTCTTACCACTTTATCCTATACAGATGGTCTCCCTTCGCCGGGTTCCTCTGAGTTGGGCTCTCCCTTGGTATACGCATAGGCATCGGGACGGTAGCGTTGCCCTTGCTTCCCAACTTACGGACCTAGCTCCGACTTCCCTCACCTTAGGAGTCATTTGCATGATTCCCTTACCCATCACTTTCCTACCCTTTGCCGGCCCTCACGCCCTAGTTAGGCAGCCTCGCATGCTTCATCTAGGTGCGCCCAGTATACCAGGCTCCCTTGTTCCCTTGCATGGTCGACCCTCCATAGCGATCACCCCTTTAGTCGAGCATTACCCGCCCTGATGGTCTATCTGTTAGGGTCGTTGGTTTTGTTCGCTCCCAGTTCCCTACCCTCATTGAGCCTGATGACATGTGTTCCCCCTGTCACTATGTGTGGATGCCCTTAGGAGTTATCGACCCCTAGGCTGCATTCGCCACCCTCATAGATCATCCCAACCTTTGGTTTGCGACACACTTCTCCTGTGACATATGGTTGTCTTGTTGTTGCTTTGTTGCTCTCAGACTGAGGCTACCGCCTTTGACATTTATAGGATTTAGTTATTCTGCCTTTACTGTCCTTAGGACTTATACACTAGTCAACTGTTTCCAGACTGAGGCTACTGCCTCCAACATTCTAGGACCTAGTTGTCATTACTTTTTACTTTCATAGGACATGTATGCTAGTTAGTTGCTTCTGCTTTCACTTAGGCTGTTAGCTGTGACATTGTTGTTTTTTTTGTGGCATTTCCTATCCTAGGTTGCATCGCATGGACTCAGGATGGAGCTTTCTCCGCATCCTAGACTACTCAGGTTTTCTTTTTCTTGGATGGAGTTCCGCTTCTTGGCGGAAGCGTGCTTGTATCTAGGCGATCCATCACAGGCCGAGGATCATGTAGCGGACCTCTGGTCGGCCTGTGAGACCATCCCCTTGGCCTGTTCTCACAGGCCTGTGTTGTATTTGGGGCAGTCCAGTCTAGGCCGGTACCTCTGTCGGTACCCGCTAGTCCAGTCCAGTCCCGTCAGTCCGCTTGGGTATACCCCAACTGTTGTATGTTTTCCGATTCATTCTGCATTCGCACAATTTTTGGAGTACGTGCGTTGGAGTCTGTTGTGGGAGCTGCGCTGTGCCATCTCGCTCCCCTTCTTCCTCCATCTCCATCTCTGTCCCAGGCACCACACCTGGTGGGTCCGCCACATTGTCGGAGTATGACTCGAAGCTCTGCATTGATCTATACGAGTACTCCTCTGCCCATACATTTTCCTCATTTTTCCCTTTGTACCTGATTTGGACCCGGTTCGGCTCCTTCCAAATTCTCAGATCGCATCCCAGGAAAGTCCAAGTCCCCCCTGCCATCGTCCGTCCTCTTCAGCTGTAGGTTCACATCATAGATCCCTGCGACCTTTTCCACCATCCCCGCTGCCCTGTCTTTCCCTCTATTTGTCCTTCCTTCCCACACGAATACCGATAGATCATCAAACAACCTCACCCCTCGAACCAACCCCCTATCCTTCCCTAGTGCCTCCAAAAATTGGCCTCATTATAGATGCACAACAGGCAGGCCAGGGGGGGACTGCTACTTTTCCCCATGGGCACCCCCTTAACCTGTCTGAGCAGTCTTCCGACCGCCATCAGAAACGTGTTATCTAGCTCATATCGTATATACTCCATAACTTGATTCATACTCACAAACAACCAATCCTTGTCCCTTTGATTAGCAAACGATACCCCCTTTCCTCTCCTGTTGACATACACACCCTTCCTCCTTTTCCTCTTCATCATTCCCTCAAGCCATTCGACGACCTTCACTATCGATGCATGGGGTAACTCATTGAACATTTCCTTGACATCAAAGAACAGTCCTTTGACCGTCCCTCGCTTCCCTTTTTCTTGTGCCCATTTGGTAATTCCTTCCATTCTCCTTTTTAAATCCCCCGTCGATCTCAGATTAAAGTGCCTGGACGGAGGTAGCAGTGCAATCATGCCATTCAGAGCTCTCGCAACTCTCTGCCCTGCTTGCTTTGATGGTTCTGGGTACGACGGGGTAATTGGTCTAAATTTGCCAATGTCCTTGTTCTTCGACAAAATATATGCATATCCAAACCTCCCTTTCCCTTTCCATTTCCCCAAACTATCGAAACCTCCCTTCTTATACTTTTATTTACATTCAGCGAGAACATCCTCCTCCGAACCTGCAACCGCCTCAAAACTCTCATTCCCCCAAAACATATCTCTTATTCCATCTGCATAGACCTTCGGGCACATGACCAGTGTCTCTGCTGGATTTTTATCAAGAGGTACCCGAACGAAATTTACCAATAACTTCCCCCATCGTTCAACGACGTCATCAGTGCATCCCCTCCCACAATTTCCTTCCATCCTAACGACCTTCCAAACTTCACCCGATGTCACTGATCTTTCCAATCCAAACTTCCGAACGACATCGTTCACCTCCTTCAACACTTCCCTCACGAGATCCCTTCCTTCCTTCCTAATCGAGTCCTTAGCATTCTTCAGAGCATTGGGAACATTTCTCAGAGCGCTCAGTTTAAAGGTCACATGCCCCTCCACTTTCGGGAGGTGTGAGTCTGCACAGGGGCAGACACCAACCACATTTCAAGCTACTGCTTTGTGGTTCTGCAGGGTCTGACCAACTGTTTGGCTCCGTTTCCCAACAGTCCTCGGGCGTCTGCAAATGACCTTGCTGATGCACTCTGGGAAATGCTCCCTAACTTCATCTTTTACCAAATTCCGTACTACCCGCTTTGAGATCGCATCACTATAGGTAATTCGTACTACCAGTCTTTTTCTCAGCTTCACCCCAATTGTTTTCGAAATAACTCCATCTACGACATTCTTAACCTTTTTCCTCGTGGCCTTTTTAGAAAACGTTCTCGCAGCTTGGAACAACCTGACCAGTTCCTCCAACGACCGCTTAAACAATCCTTTTACCGTCCAGGGCAGCGAGAGCAGTCGGATCAGTACTTTCTTATCCTTAGTAAGGCCAAATTTACTCCGAACCAATTTGACCACCTGGACCCTTCCCCCTTTCGCCAATTCCTTCTTACATTCCTTCAATGCCACTTTCCTCCCCTTGGTCCTTAGGATTGTTTCCCCAAATTTCCTACGAACCACCGACCATCTCGTAGTCCACACGCTTTCTTTTTCCACTACGAAGTCTCGGTTCCCTGCATTCAATACAAGACACAGATCACAAAACTCCCTCTTCTTATTCCTAAACCTAATTAACCCGGCCCCCTTGCTATTCACTCTTCCTTTCCTTGCATTTCTGGCTCTGTTTTCTTCCTTTTCGCCTACCTGATTTCTTGTACCCTATGCTATTTAAGCATGGCGACCATCGCTTAATACACATTCCCTCGACCTGTAGCAGTTCATCATTACCACAACATACGAGAGGAATTGCAACATACCCCTTCCATCCCACCTTCCTGAGCCACTTGTACAACCTATTCTTTCCTCCTTGTTGGTTTGCCTGCTGCACGTGTTCCCGCCATCTCACCTCAAGTTCCCTTTCGGTTTTTCCTATATAAAACTTTCGACAAAATGGACTCAAGATAAGGTAAACACACGAATTTGCATACAACCATTCATACGGGTACTTGTCAAACGCTTCAAGCATAAAGTACCTAAACTTATTTGCATGACCGATACAGCCTTCAACGATCAAAAACAACAAAAGTATCCGACAAATCCTATCAACTATCCCTAGTAGTCACTTACAATTCTGGTGAGGGACGTGCAACCAACGCTGAGCGCTCCGTTGTTACGCCGCCGGTTCAGGCAGACCGGCCTCGCTAGCCACTACCCCGACTCTCTGCCGGGCGAAATGGTCATCGCCCACCATCCCATCCAACAACCATAGCTAGATCAACCCACTTCATACATCAAAGCAGGCGGGACATAGAGGCGAGTCAGTGAGCCAAAAAGAGTCAATGATACTCTTTTCAATACGTACAACGTGGAACAGGACAGGCGCTCGCGCCCTATCCCAAAAGCGCGCCAGCGGATTTCGAGGACCTCCATAGGCGACCCCCTATCCTGCTTTAGGGCAGGAGATTGCCGAGGTATCCCATACCCGCCTGCGACCCAGTGCTTGACCCTTCAAAGCTGATGCTAAAGGTACACTCCTATTCTGAATGCCCATCCACTACCGACTCAAGAACCTACAGGCCTGAACAAATCGGCCCCTCAACAGTTGGAGTGAATCATGGCAGTAGCAGCAGCGGGGATGCAGCAATGCGAGACCCGAGGTTAGCCCTGCGCACGCCTGTGAAGCAGCGAAGAATCAACAAAGACGGAGAGGGTCTAATCACCCAAGAAGATGAGGAAGGCGAAGTGGACTTCTACTCCATACCAATCAATAGAGAGGGCACTCAGCAACAGGTCCATACAGGAGTACGACAGCTTGTCCAACAAGGGGGACCTCTGTCGATTCAGCCATCCAGCAGCGGACTCTCCACCGGAGCTGTCAGGCACCAATTTGTTTTGCTCTGCTTCACGCTGACTCCTTAGGGCACCAAATTCATGGCCAAGAGAACGGAGCAGGGCTTGCTTGTCATCCCAACGGTGGCAATCGGGTCCTCCCCTACCACGGAGGAAGCAGTAAAGGCAGTGGCGGCGACCATCATCGCAGACTGCTTCCCCTTCAGACTGGTACTGGGCTTAAGAGTGGGTCGCAAAACGGTCGCCACAGCGGCCGGTGGAAGTTGGCATTTCTGGATAGGGGTCTTGGATGCTAGAGTGGTCCTCGACACAACGACATTGCTGGCAACTCAGGGTGTAGTATGACTTCCTTTA